AAGTAAGATCTACAAAAAAGTTTTATATGACAAAAATGGTCAATTGAACCTTTTAGGAGTTATTGCCCTTTAAGGACAATTTTACACAAGTTGTTTTATGTTTTTTAACTTTAAAAATCTTCTCAAATGAATCTAGTATAAATTTTGTACTTCATTTCCTTGTACGCCAAGAAACATAGACACTATGGCTAAAATGGAACATATGGGTAAAAAGCAAAAATAATCATTGATGAAAGATTTAAGCAAAAAAAAATAACAGGTGAGCGATTCAGGCTCTTGAGAGCCTCTTGTTTAATGAATAAAACCCCATAACTCAGAAATGTAAAATCTAAAATTTATAAAATTCTAAAGGGAGCTTACATCAACAGATATAAACAATTCACCAAAGTTTCGAGAGAATTGCTGAAAGCATTTTTTAGTTATTGTCTGAAAACTTGAAAATCCCCCTTTTTTATGAATAAAACCCTGTAACTCGGAAACGTTAAATCTAAAATTTATAAAAATTCAAAATGGAGCTCATGTCAATGAATATAAACAATTCACCAAAATTTCTTGCAAGTTGGTGAAAGCATTCTTGAGTTATTGTTTGAAAACTGGAAAATCCCCCCTTTTATAATGAATAAAAAAAAACCAAAACTCGGAAACGGTAAATCTGAAATTTATAAAAAACGAAAGGGAGCTCACGTCAATAGATATAAACAATTCCCCAAAGTTTTATACATATTGGTTAAAGCTTTTTTGAGTTAATGTCCGACATGTTGACGACGGAGGGACGGACAACGGTTCACCATAATACGTCCCATAAACGCCGGTATAATAATCCCAAGTCAATTTTTAAATGTTTTTTGTTTTTGTTTTTTTTTTGTGCTGTATGGTTGCAGTCTCATTGACCTTCTTTTTCTAATTATATTTGAAGCACTGCTATGATTTAACAACAATGGATATATTTAAATATTTGTATATTACAGGTAAAGTGGGTGGATGGAAGAAGGTTTTTACAGTAGCACAGAATGAAAAGTTTGATAAATTTTTTCAGGAAAAAATGGCTGATTTAAATTTAGACATTAAATTCACAATATGAATGATAAAACAATACATGTAATTCATCTAATCTTATTTATTCAAAATGTATTAAATAGCTTACAAAGACACAATATTTACTAGACAGATTATAAAATTATTAAAATTCATATAGAAAATAAACCTTAGAATTAGATAAACTGTTATCACAGAGATATGCCTCGCCTTTTTGTAATTTTGATAATGCAAATGTTGAAATTAAAATAGCAATACTTGAACATGTAAGTTATGCAAATATTCAAAGTCGATGAACCATGACTGAAGGTACATGGCTAAACAATCTCCATGGAATGAGATGTGCCAATGCTAATACAACTGCATACCAAATACCATTGACTTATTATAAGTCGTTCCCTTTAAACAAACCTAAACACAAACATTAACTTGTAAACTATGTAAAAGTTTCAAAGTCAATGAACCATGATCAGGGGTGGGGCTATATAATCTCCATGGAAACGATACTTGCAAATGCCAATACATTTGCATACCAAATATCATTGACTTAACATTAGCAGTTCATCTTAAACTGATCTAATCACAAACTAATACATGTAAACTAAGCAAAATAAACTAAGCAAAAGTTTCAAAGTCAATAGACCATGACTGAGGGGGCGAGGCCAAATATTCTCCATGGAAATGAGATGTGCTAATGCTTATACAACTGAACACCAATTAACATTGGCCTACCACTAATGGTTCCCCTTGAACTGACCTAATCACAAACTAATACATGTTACTTAGCAAAATTTCAAAGTCTATAGACCATGACTAAGGGGGTGGAGCCAAATAACCTCCATGGAAATAAGATATGCCAATGCTTATACAACTGCATACCAAATATCATTGACCTACCACTAGTGGTTCCCCATAAATTGATCTAATCACAATCTAATACATGTAAACTATGAAAAGTTTCAAAGTCAATAGACCTTGACTGAGGGGGCGGGGCCAAATAATCTCCATGTTAATGAGATGTGCCAATGATAATACAACTGCATACCAAATATCATTGACCTACCACTAGTGGTTCACCATGAACTAGACCTAATCACAAACTAATACATTGTTGACGTTGCCGTCGCCGCCGGAAACAGCATACCTATGTCTCGCTTTTTGACTCCGTCAAGGCGAGACAAAAATAGACATTCTTGACACACTGAAATCTGTCTTAAATGTAAAACATGTAAAAGGAAATAGTCAACAAGAACAGGGAATGTAATTTAGAAGATTTTTATCTTATACAATGTAGAACTAGAACAGCAGGGTATAAACCAAGCATGTCAATTTTGCTTCAGTGTACACTTTAAATACATATTGTTAGACTTTATGAAACATTGTAAGAAGTAAATAGAACTATTTGAACATGCATGACAAATATCAAAAAAATAAACTCATCAAAGATACCATATAAAGTCTTAGATGGCCTCACTTGCAGCATCAGTTTACCCGAAGCCAATATCATTGATCCCATGTTTATCATGGACAACAGCCTCCACTGTCTTCACAAAGGTAGGTAGGCCTCCCTTGCTGTGTCTGTTTATCCAAAGTCTAGTATACATATAATAAATCACTCTTTAATAACTTATGATGAATGTAAGTAAATTGAGTAATAAGGGAAGTACCTTATTGTTTTTAATTCATGGATGCATTTAATTCCAGACTTAAGGATGTGCATTTCATTTTACAGTTAATGTTGTTATATGAATGAATATAATTTCAATAAAAAGGCATCCATAAATTTTAATTTGATATGTTATAGCAAAGTTAAACCGGTTTATTGTTCCTTACTTCTACATCATTTGGTCTCTTGTGGAAAGTTGTCTCATTGGCAATCATGCCACATCTTATTTTTATATTGTGTCTTTTGAACCATAGTGTAAGTTCTGCTCTCAGTTCCTGTCTAGTTTTGAATTAGATGAAAATGTAAAATATTATGAAACAAGCATTCTGAGAGTATTGCATGGCAATACATAGTACCCTACCGGTTAGAAATTCATTGTACTCGAACAAAATGCTAACTTGATCTATAACTTGTCATGGTGTAAACTATATAACAAATATCAAGTCAATATCTTCAAGCATGACTAAAAAAAGGGAGGAAAAGTCCAAGGACCATAACTCTGCACAAAATCATCAAACTGGAATAATATTCGGACTTGATCTGTAACTTGTCATGATAGAACTATAAACCAATTATCAAATCAATATCTTCTAGCATGACGAAAAAAAGTGCGGAAAACAAATTATTTTAGTGAATTATCTAAGTCCAAGGACCATAACTCTGCACAAAATCATCAGACTGGAACAAAATTCGATCTTGATCTGTAACTTATCATAATAAAACAATACACCAAATATCAAATCAATACCTTCAAGCACGAAGAAAACAAGAGGCTCACAAGAGCCTGAATAGCTCACCTGTATTTCAGAGGAGAAGATTTTTAAATGTTAGCAAACTTGATGAACAAATTGTGTAAAATTGTCTTTAAAGGTCAATAACTTCTTCAGGGGTCAATTGACAATTTTGGTCATATTAACTTTTTTGTAGATCTTACTTTGCTGAACATTATTGCTGCTTACAGTTTATATATATCTATAATAATATTAAAAAAAAACAAAAAAAACTGCAAAATTTTGTTAAAACTACCAATTCTGTGGCAGCAACCCAACAATGGGTTGTTCGATTCGTCTGAAAATTTCAGAGCTGATAGATATTGACCAATTAAACAATTTTACCCGATGTCACATTTGCTCTAAAAGATTTAGTTTTTGAGATATAAGCCAAAAACTGCATTTGACCCTTATGTTGTATTTTTAGCCATGGCGGCCATGTTTGTCGATGGAAACAAACTTCGGATACAATTTATAAACAAGATACCCTAAGGAACATTTAGTTAAAGTTTGAAGGTAATTGGCCCAGTAGTTTCAGAGGAGAAGATTTTTAAATGTTAGCAAACTTGAACAAATTGTGTAAAATTGTCTTTAAAGGGCAAGAACTCCTTAATGGGGCAATTGACAATTATGGTCATATTAACTTTTTTGTAGATCTTACTTTGCTGAACATCATTGCTTCTTACAGTTTATATATATCTATAATAATATTCAAAATAATAACAAAAAACTGCAAAATTTTGTTAAAACTACCAATTTGGTGAGAGCAACCCAACAATGGGTTGTTCGATTCGTCTGAAAATTTCAGAGCTGATAGATCTTGACCAATTGAACAATTTTATCCCATGTCAGATTTGCTCTAAAAGCTTTAGTTTTTGAGATATAAGCCAAAAACTGCATTTGACCCCTATGTTCTATTTTTAGCAATGGCGGCCATGTCGATGGATCAAAACTTCGGATACAATTTATAAACTAGATATCCTAAGGAACATTTAGTTAAAGTTTGAAGGTATTTGGCCCAGTAGTTTCAGAGGAGAAGATTTCTGAAATAGTTTACGACGACAGATGACGACAACAGACGACGGACGCCAAGTGATGGCATAAGCTCACATGAGGCCTTTCGGGTCCCGGTGAGCTAAAAAGTGTGGAAAACTGATTTGCCGGACTGATGGATGGACAGAGAGAGTGCAAACCTAAAATCCCCTTAGACTTCGTCGGTAGGTGACTAATAAGATTTAATCAATGAGTTCATCGCACTACATACAACCTTTTAAGGTAAGACGGTGACTTCAAGTCAAGATTATGCTACAACTCTTATGTAATTGTTTATAAATATCAATGTGGATTAACATTACCTTAAAGGAAGTATAGGAATTTAACCAAATTAGAGGCTCCATGTAAATTTACCCCTTAATTACTCAAGGTATAAATGTCTGAGAAATTTAGCTTAAAATGGCTTTGTTTTTTATCATTCCCCTGAAATTTCACCATTTTCTGACTTGTCATCTCAGGGAAGATTTTTGACAATTGGCCAATCAGAATCAATTTTTTTTTCTCTGGTAGCCATGTTTTTCTTCTAATCAGAACCAAATAAGGATCATTTGTTAAAAACCTGCCCTACATCATTCCTGTCAAGTTTGGTTAAATTTGACCTAGCAGTTTCGGCGAAGATACAAAAAGTGACAATTAATAAACAAATGTAAAATCAACTGTTATTTTCTTCAAGTTCTATCCTTCTTTTCTTCACTTCTGGTCCACAACCTAAAAAATAAAAGTAAATCAATATTTTAAAGTTTCACTTTGGTCTATGACCATGATGACATATACAATGTATCTATATAATACAAACATGTCTGGTTACTCTGGTAACTGATGAATCATTCATTAAGTCAATATTCTTTACATGTACATGTAAATTAACATAAAAAAATGGTCAGCATATTTATCTTACAATATCTCTCCTATAGAAAAAATAACAAATAAATGTATGACCAAAAGAAGATGTTGGGTATATATCAATGAGACAGCAACACAATGAGATTAATAACTTAAAGCCATCTTGAGGTCAATATGCAGTCTTCAACAATAAACAGACGTGAGTCGATGACAGGTGTCTATACAATATGTTGAACCCTAAATATCCCAGGCTATGCCAGAGTGAAAACAGTTGGAATAAATCAAACAGACCATTACCACAAAGTTCTCCAAAAAGTAATGGTAAAAAAATCATTAAAAGATGGCATAAGACAACATTTTTTTGTGGTGACACAACGGCGATTATTACGGGTGATTAGCACTGAAATATATCTCTGTATGTTCAAAAATATTATATGACATGGTTGTAAATCAGACTTTTATTTATCTAAATCACCAGCTATCACCCTGATTGAATATGATTCAATCACCACAAGCAAGAGCAACTTTTAAATGAATATCTTTGTGTCTACTTTACTTAAGCTTTTTCAGGATTTGTACAAGTAAATACACATAACACCAGTAGTCATAGTGGTCAGGTACTTGTGTTTAACAAAGAATAAATTTCTTTAAAAGATAGTAAGTTGTAAGAACACAGATAAAAATGAATCCATCAAAAACTCAAATGAATAGTATTCAGTTGGGATATTTTTTTGTATTTGTGGGCTGTAAATACAAAAAAATCATCCCTATTTCCATAAGAGCTATGGTTCTGCTGATATAGTAAATCATGCTTGTGGAATAAATTAATATTAAGGCATAAACATTCAGCTTACCCTCCTCTGGTTTTTGCCTGAATAGAATCTCAGCTGGCATATGGAAAGACACACACATCATTTCTTTATTAGGGGCTACATTTCTAACATTATGAATGGTAAAGTTATCTGGTAATTGTGATCCTATTGTACTCTCTAATCTCTGTTTCACATCAGCTTCAGGAGTCTCACTCTTTGTAAAACAATACACATACATATAAGGAAGTAAATCTGATGATGTAGGTTTTATATTTTCATCAATATCAGCAAATAATGACTGAAATGTATCAGTAAACTCAATACCAAGAGCTGGCAAATTCATTACAACTTTCAAATTTGTCTTATTTCCTGTTTCCATATAATTTTCCCATCTTTTTAAAATATCAGGTTTGACTATTGTCTTGATGAATTCTCTTCCATCTAAATTACTGCAGTGTATCTCTGTCTTAATTTTGTTTAGTTTGATGTTCTTACAGAGACTTTCATAAGAACTAGGATTCAAGTCATTGGCAAAAACAATAGCTTTCCTTGATTTAGCAGCAGGTATGGCAAATGGTCCTACACCAGCAAAAACATCATATACAACATCTTCTTTTTTTATTTCATTAACAACCCTTTGATGCTCGGAACCTACAAGTAAACAATATACATGTACATGTATGAAACTTTTTTTTTATTATCAAAATTTCATAAGGGTGCATTTTATTAGGGGTTAAGTAATGATTAAAATCAGTTCTTTCATTTTGCTCATTTAGATTTGCTTGTTACTCTTGTAACCCTTTTATCATTATAACAAGAGTGGACACGCTGAAATGTCTCGCCTTCTTTACTAACCATTGATATTATGTTGATAGTCCTAAATGAAAGCTTTACTACAACTATTACATAAACTTAACATGATCCAAGAAAATGAAGTCAAGGTCATATAAACCAAACAAGAAATACATGTACACCTTACAATCATTCAATACACTAAATATAGTTGACCTATTGCTTATAGTTTCTAAGAAACAGACTTAACCAAGAAAACTAAACATTGACCAATGAATCGTGAAAATGAGGTCAAAGTCAGATGAACCATGCCAGGCAGACATGAACAGCTTACAATCCTTCCATACAACAAATATAGCTGACCTATTGCTTATAGTTTAAGAAAAACAGACTGAAACACATAAACTTAACACTGAGCAATGAACTGTGAAAATGAGGTCAAGCTCAAATAAAACCTGCGAGACTGACATGTACATCATAGAATATTTCCATACACCAAATATAGTTGACTTATTGCATAATAGTATAAGAAAAAAGACCAAAACTCAAAAACTTAACTTTGACCACTGAACCATGAAAATGAGGTCAAAGTCAGATGACACCTGCCAGTTGGACATGTACACCTTACAATCATTCCATACACCAAATATAGTAGACCTATTGGATAAAGTATAAGAAAAACTGACCAAAACACAAAAACTTAACTATAACCACTGAACCATGAAAATGAGGTCAAGGTCAGATGACACCTGCCAGTTGGACATGTACTCCTTACAATCATTCCATACACCAAATATAGTAGACCTATTGGATAAAGTATAAGAAAAACGGACCAAAACACAAAAACTTAACTATAACCACTGAACCATGAAAATGAGGTCAAGGTCAGATGACACCTGCCAGTTGGACATGTACACCTTACAATCATTCCATACACCAAATATAATAGACCTATTGCATACAGTATAAGAAAAACAGACCAAAACACAAAAACTTAACTATAACCACTGAACCATGAAAATGAGGTCAAGGTCAGATGACACCTGCCAGTTGGACATGTACACCTTACAGTCCTTCCATACACCAAATATACTAGACCTATTGCTTATAGTATCTGAGATATGGACTTGACCACCAAAACTTAACCTTGTTCACTGATCCATGAAATGAGGTCGAGGTCAAGTGAAAACTGTCTGACAGGCATGAGGACCTTGCAAGGTACGCACATACTAAATATAGTTATCCTATTACTTATAATAAGAGAGAATTTAACATTACAAATAATCTGAACTTTTTTTTCAAGTAGTCACTGAACCATGAAAATGAGGTCAAGGAAATTGGACATGTGACTGACGGAAACTTCGTAACATGAGGCATCCATATACAAAGTATGAAGCATCCAGGTCTTCCACCTTCTAAAATATAAAGCTTTTAAGAAGTTAGCTAACGCCGCCGCCGCCGCCGTAGCCGCCGCCGCCGCCGCCGGATCGCTATCCCTATGTCGAGCTTTCTGCGACAAAAGTCGCAGGCTCGACAAAAAGGGCGTCAATTTCAATGGTTATATGCTATAGATTAAATTAAAACTTTGTCTTGCCATCTTGACCTCTGACATGTCTGACCTGGGAAATCAATAGATAATTTTCTGAGTGTGAAAATAAAGAATTGTTTGATGAACATTTCTAATTTTATACACAACCAAAACTGAAATGTTGCTTGAATTAATTTCCATTGTACCAAACTGTACTTTGAAAATGTTTAACTACATGTATGTATATAACAAGCTCAGTAACTGTTTGATGAATTTATAGAATATCGAGTCAGTAACAGTTTAATTTAAATACTGTGTGCATTTAATTCATTTAACTGTGTAATTACATGTAAATACCAGCTTACAACCTACATGTAAGTATAATCTTTATTTACCAAAGTCATTACAACTAAAGGCATACAACATATAAACTACACACATTAAACATAGATAGCAGAAGGTAGTGTGAAACGTATCACAACATGTTGGATCTTAATTTTTGTGCACGAAATATGAATTTACCCAAATTACATGGCTCTCTAAGATTATTCAAACTCATTTATTGTATATCATGTATATATATGTTTATACATATACATTTTGTAGAAGGTTTTCTCCAATAATAAGGTTTAATAAAATAAGATCTAAGACCTTGATAAGTGGGACATTTTAAATTGAGGAAATGTATCTCATCCTCAATGTCATCCTTACAAAAAAATACAAAGTTTATACTTTTAGAAATTGCAGAGTAACGTCCACTTTCTATAGCTAAATTACGACTACTAACTTACTAAGTCTTATTTTGGTAATACATGTCTTATAAATAACTGGTATTGGTTTACATAAATAATATTGTAAACAAAGATTTTGAACCACCTATCTATACATGTAGCTTGAACATTTAATTAAATTACTCAGTTGGCTGTCAAAAACTTGCTTCAGACAATCAAACAGGCACTGTTTTATTTAAGAAATAATTCATGGGGGCTTGAATATATCATGATTTTACCATTGGCCCTTTATGACAAATATTTTACCCTGAGCAATCACGATATATTTAAGCCCCATGAATTTATTTCGATTTTAATAGGACAAATATGGCAACTGTTCTAGGTGAAGACATTATTTGCCGTTCCCATAAATAAATGCACTATTAAATTGACGTAGAAGAACAGAGCAAACTGAATAAGTGGCATGCTTAAACCATTTACAATAACATATTTAGATAGGTTTGGATGAATCTAAATGATAATTGTACTTATATGTCTTATATGTATACAAAAAATGGCTTATATATTAAACAAATTTAAGCATCATTTGTTTATGTTTCCTGTTGTGATGATTTTCGGTTTCACAAGCGTGTATTTTCCCGTAAAATGCTTATATTCTTACGTCATCGTTCTATGACGTCGGGTAGCTCATTCATAAAAAAGCATATGACGTGGGAGTACAATGGGAACAGCCCAAACAATATATTCATATATCATATTACCACAGGTGTGTACTCAAAGCGTTTAAAGAACGTCATGTTAGAATATTAATTAAAAAGCACTGGAGAGCTTACTATCTACCGTATATTGAAATATCCTTGATTATACCAAATATCACCTTAACCTATACTAAGCATCTCATTTTAAATAAAAAAACAACCAATTTGTCTTATTATTTGGACATTTTTGTAAATCATCATATAAAAAACAGTAACAGTTTTCAAAATACAGTTTGTGGTACATAGATTAAACCAGTATCTAAAAATTCTACATTTTCTGGTGTGCAATAAGACATTACTAAGAGAGATATTCACTTTCATAATTTTACAATAGCCCAGATTGTAAGATTCAAGTAAGGCCACACTTAAAAATATTTTGGTTTGCCCAAACCCTACCAAAAGGTAGAGACAGTGGGTAGGTAGGTAGGCATTTTCTTTTTTTTCAGCAAAGAGAAATTGAAGTGTCAGATGTTTTTTAGTCTTCATGCCTATCTGATTAAAAAAAAAAACTTTTTCACATCAGGACAATTAAGATTTTGAGTAGGAAGCTATTTTCTGGATAGGTAGGGTTAGGGCAAACAAACATTTTCTTTTTTATGGCCTAAGGCATATGAAAAATAATACAAGAAAGGAGATAACTGAAACACAGACTATGGGGAGATTATTCAAACTTTGAAAAGGAAACTGAAACGGACAAATTTACAAGAAAATATTACTTACATTATCAAGTTTATAAAAATTACTTTTACAAGTAATACTTCTGACTGAACAACAACAATACTCTATTTTAGAGAACTACAAAGTTAGTTATACAATTAATCTTCCCAGAGGCCCTATTCATACTAAACATAAGCCTTGTAAATGATCAGTCTGGATATCAATGCAAATTTGATTCAAGCCATTTCAATTGATATTTTATAGTGTGTCTTTCTATGTTGTGATGTTACACTATTGTTTCAGGTAGGGTGGGAGGTTGGCGCCTTTTAAAACGTTTAAACCCGCTGCATTTGTTTGCACCTGTCCTAAGTCAGGAATGTTCAGTGGTTGTCGTTTGTTGATGTGGTTCATAAGTGTTTCTTGTTTCTCGTTTTTTATATAGATTAGACCGTTGGTTTTCCTGTTTGAATGGTTTTACACTAGTCATTTTTGAGGCCCTTTATAGCTTGCTGTTCGGTGTGAGCCAAGGCTCCATGTTGAAGGCTGTATAATGGTTTACTTTTACAAATTGTGACTTGGATGGAGAGTTGTCTCATTGGCACTCATACCACATCTTCTTATATCTATCAAAGTGTAATACAGCTATGTTTTGTTACATCATTTGTACATTGCAATTGTACTTAATGAAAATAGATATATCATCTTTAAGTTAAGCTACATGCAAATTAAACAAATATCTTGCTGGTATGGGCCAAATTATACAGGGATGTGTACAATAAAATAATAAAATCTTAAAGAACACTTACTCAATCTGGGATTCCAATATACTTTTGAAAAGTCAAACTCAAATGTAAATCCATGTTCTTTTGCTTGAGCTATCATATTATCTTCTCCGGCTATTAACTCCATTTTAAAATTACGGAAAGTATTGTCTATTTGACCAGTTTTGTTTACTACTGTTTTCAGTGAAGGCTTTTTATCCATTAAGACCTGGCCTGCAATGAAAATTATTGAAGAATGATCAACATACTGATACAAGAATAATAACATTATATTTACAGGTATATGAAATATCAAATGTCTTTATATTTTATGTAGTAATTGCTTTTCTTTCTCAGAATTTGATTTATTCACCAGAACACAGGACAATCAGTCAATGGAGAATACATGTGCTATTATAGGTTTAAGATTATATAAAAGTAGTTAAATATATACCTTATCTTAAAAAAAAAGTTTTAACTACAGGACTCTTCAATGCAGTTCTTACTTCACGAATAAAAGACATTGTTTACATGGAGGTTAACACCAATGAAATATTAACCAATAAATTAAACAAGAGGCTCTCAAGAGCCTGAATCGCTCACCTGTATTTCAGAGGAGAAGATTTTTAAATGTTAGCAAACTTGATGAACAAATTGTGTAAAATTGTCTTTAAAGGGCAATAACTCCTTAAGGGGTCAATTGACAATTTTGGTCATATTAACTTTTTTGTAGATCTGTAACTTTGCTGAACATTATTGCTGCTTACAGTTTATATATATCTATAATAATATTCAAAATAATAACAAAAAACTGCAAAATTTTGTTAAAACTACCAATTCGGTGGCAGCAACCCAACAAAGGGTTGTTCGATTCGTCTGAAAATTTCAGAGCTGATAAATCTTGACCAATTAAACAATTTTACTCGATGTCCCATTTGCTCTAAAAGATTTAGTTTTTGAGATATAAGCCAAAATCTGCATTTGACCCTTGTGTTCTAATTTTAGCCATGGCGGCCATGTTTGTCGATGGATACAAACTTCGGATACAATTTATAAACAAGATACCCTAAGGAACATTTAGTTAAAGTTTTAAGGTAATTGGCCCAGTAGTTTCAGAGGAGAAGATTTTTAAATGTTAGCAAACTTGATAAACAAATTGTGTAAAATTGTCTTTATAGGGCAATAACTCCTTGAGGGGTCAATTGACAATTATGGTCATATTAACTTTTTTGTAGATTTTACTTTGCTGAACATTATTGCTGCTTACAGTTTATATATATCTATAATAATATTCAAAATAATAACAAAAAACTGCAAAATTTTGTTAAAACTACCAATACGGTGGCAGCAACCCAACAATGGGTTGTTCGATTCGTCTAAAAATTTCAGAGCTGATAGATCTTGACCAATTGAACAATTTTATTCCTGTCAGGTTTGCTCTAAAAGCTTTAGTTTTTGAGATATAAGCCAAAAACTGCATTTGACCCCTATGTTCTATTTTTAGCCATGGCGGCCACAAAAGCGGATACAAACTTCGGACACAATTTATAAACTAGATACCCTAAGGAACATTTAGTTAAAGTTTGAAGGTATTTGGCCCAGTTGTTTCAGAGGAGAAGATTTTTGAAATAGTTTACGACGACAGACGACGGACGCCAAGTGATAGCATAAGCTCACATGGGGCCTTTCAGGCACCGGTGAGCTAAAAAAAGACATCTAGAGTTCAAAATACAGATTTCAACAAAAGATTACTGTCTATATACTACACAATACATCTACATTGACGCTAGTTCCATTATAATTGTTTATGACTTTAAACAGCGTCGTAAAAGGCATCTACAAGTAAATTAAACCCTATCTTTAAAGCAAACAAGTTACACAAACTTTCCTTCAAGTCATTCTTTTTAGCTACAACAATGTAATTAAGACTGGTTGAATTATTTACTTTATAGTTATTATGACCAACACCTGACTCCTAATGAAAAAAAAGATGTGCAAACAAAAAAAAAACTACATGTTCAAATTTATTTATTTGTATGTTTGTTTGAATTTTTTAGTCTGTTGTGTTGTATGTCTTGGCTGCTGGATTACATTTAGTGTCAAATTAACCTATAATGTCTGTTTTGGTTGCTCATCAATATACAGTCAGGGGAATTACTTAAATGAATGATTTCTAAATCACCAATTCGAGTAACATTTTCTCCAGAAATTTTGGAAGTAAGTGTTGTCTTTCTTTTATAATCACATATTTAAGTACATGTAGTACAAATGAATCACTAGACTAAGTGATTTAATTTTATGGTAGCTTTAAATCTATAATACTTATGATCCAGGGACTAATTATGTTTCTAAAATTATCAGAACCAACATCTGTGTTTTATAGGATGACTGGTCATGTCAGGTGATGACCTTGTACTGAATCTGGGATAATGACATGAAAATCACTTGTTTCAGTATCAGGGCCTGTATGCATAGAGCTACTTAAGTTAAGATTTGTTCCCAACGGACGGATTTTTCTACATGTCCTACGATAAATTAGAATTACGATTGGATATCTCACCTTAAGTAGCTTTATGTATACGATCCCAGACCTCTATTTTCTTCCAAAAAATCACTTCTTTAAGTATTATTATTTTAAATACCCCCACTAATTTCAACACCCCCAAACAGTGAAATTTTGATAGCTAACAGTAACATATTACATAACATGTAGGATGAAACCTTGAATTTTACAGGAAAAATACTCCCACTGCTGGAAAAAATCTGTTAAGACATTATACGTATTAGTTCATTTATATGTAAAGCCTTCATTATAGCATTTTTTCAACAAATATAGAATTGACAGCTGAATGATTGCATCAAAGGTATGAATGAACCTTACTACTTAAAAGAAGCAAAAGGTTATTTTTTTCAATTTTACTAATAATAAGATATAATCTATACCAGTGTATGTAAAAAATTTTGGTAAAACTACAAAATCACCGAATTTCTAATTTGTTACTTACATGACTTAAATAAGTGATTTTATAAATCACTTATTTCAGTAATTCCCCTGACTGATATATTCATATTCAAATATTTATCGCCATTTAAACTTTTAACAATAAGTTTGTGACAAATACAAAGAAGTAGACAATATAACTGAAATTCACATATATATGTATATTTCGCTGAGGGAAGAACAAAAATTTGCTAACGCAAATTTGAAGATCTAACATTATTGAGCTAAATTTGAGACGAATTATATATAAAAAGAAATAGTTTGATACCCAATAAGACTTTACCTCCAGATCAACCAGAAAATAAACTATCAGTATTAAAACATACATGCAGAATAATAATTAGAAAATGCAAACTAAAATAATACAACTTGAATATGTGCAATGTTTTGAAAATTCCTATACATGTATGTACATGTATGCAAGTTTGTCACCAACATGACCAATTCAGTGTTGCTAATAGTTCATTTAAAAACAATTTTAGATGGAGACAATAATTCTTTACTTATTGTTTGAAGGTTGGTTGAATTGTTAAACAAAAAAAGGTTAAAATTCAATGCAGTTAAAATGTTGTAGCAACAAAAAACATGTTGAAATAACATATACATGATATACGTTGATATCTGCACAATGTAATTGTTCTAAAATGTGTATTTTATTTCAACATTTATACTTTTATATTTCATAAAAAATTGTGGTAGTTCAGTTTAATGTTCCAAATCATTTTAATTATTTTCAATTGATAGACAAACGGAAGGCAGGCAAAATGTTATGTACACAAATGTACATGTATTGGAGCTAAAAAGGCATAGGCGGATCCAGGGTGGGGGGCCCGCCCCCCCCCCCCCCCCCTTTTGTGGGAAAATTTTGGTTGATTATATAGGGAATCACTGAAGCATGACTGGAGCGGCCCCCCTTAGGTCAGTCAGTGCCCCCCCCCCTTACAAAAAGTTCTGGATCATGTAGGTTATCATGTGATGTACATTTAGATTGTTATGAAGTATTAATTACAACCAACATTTTCTCTAACTTACTTCACATGCTTAACTAACAGTTTCTCCATAACTGCTTTAAAGTTATTATTACCTATAATATGTTTATATTGGAGGACTTCTTCTTTTAAATTTAGATGGGCTATATGGCCTATAATGGAAAATCCAGAGACATTGGTTTTTACAATAGCTGGAATAATTTCTGAAGCTGTCCAATTCTCATAGCACAACTCTATATCATACTGCTGAAAGCTTTCCAAGTCTACATCAGCTTTTTTGAACATTTGTCTTTCTTCATTGCTAAAATCATTTAGTGACTTGTATTTCAATGGATTGAGAAGAAATAGCTTGTGTGAATTATAATCAGGATCAAATTTTTCAAGATCTGCTATTGATTTCAGTTTTGGCATCCTCAGCATTGATAACTTCATACATTTACTCATATGTTTTATTGCTTGAAATGGTACTTTAACTCCTGGAATTTTACAAGTCCTTTTGAAGGCAGATTTGTCCAAAACTTTCATTCCTAAAACCTGTTTTGGGGGACACAGTTCTAACATCTCAGACTCTGAGTCAATGTTATCCATTTTTAATTTCAATTTGTTGAAAATATCAAAGAAATTTAATGAAATGGCCTTATTTGTAAACTTCTGTAAATTAATCAGAAGTACTCTATAAAAAAACCGGTAATTCGCAACTTGGAGGAATTTCTGTCCATTTGTTTCAGTTCTTACAACTACAAGTCTTTTGGAGTCTATAGATGACAATCTTGGTATAAATCGGTGAAAAATCTGTTTAATGAACATGAATGAAATTATTTAGCAATTAAATTTTCAAAGATAAGGACGTTTTGTCATTTCTTCTTAGAGAAACGTGCAGAAAATTTATCAACAGGAAGTTGCTACTCTTTGATCCTCTTCACTAAAGAGTGGGAGAGTTTACTAATGGGTAGTAATAATACATTGCCTATTTGTAGACAAATATTCAATTATTCCTTGTTAAATTTTTCATAATTAAAATAGTATAAAATCAAGTAATTAAACTTGATGTGAAATAACTTCGATCTCAATAATAAAGATAATGTTTTAGAATTTTAAAAAGTAAACACAATGATGTTTCCCAAGAATTATCTCCCTTATATCTCAGCATGGATGATCAAGGGTGTCCAAGATGTAAAACAACTAAATACAGAAATCCTTCATTGAAATTGCTTGTTAATATCTGTGGACACTCATTGTATGTTGTAAATCCTTCTTTTATAAAGACCAGACATCAATAAAATCAAATCAAGTATAAAGATAACAAGCCTTGGTTTCCTCCACAGAAATCTACACATCGGCTCTAAAAGCATCAAAGAGCAAGCTTACAAAAACCTAGTAAGGCCCCAACTAGAATATGCCACAACAGTATGGGACCCATATCATCAGAAACATATTGAACAAATTGAAAAAGTTCAAAGGAGGGCTGCGCGATACGTCACCAAGCGCCACAGAAACAGATCAAGTGTCACGGACATGATTAATGAATTGGGTTGGAAAAGTCTCCAAGAACGACGCAGAGAGGCCAGGCTCGCAATGATGTACAAGATCGTCAACGACAAAGTAGCCATCAACAAAGACATGTACCTCCAGAGACCAACCAGAGTATCCAGACATACACAACAGCATGGATACATGGTACAAACAGCAACCAAAGACTGCAGGAAATGGTCTTTCTTTGTGAACACCACCAAAGACTGGAACAAGCTTCCCCCGGAGATCGCCACAGCACAGTCATTTGAGACATTCCATTCTCAAATGACCAACCTTACAAAATAAGATGAACATTTGTTTTTATCCTGTTTTTAACCATGCAGAACCAATTTTGCCAGTATATTTAGAAAGTTGAATGTGGGCAGTATATGAAAGAAGAAGAAGATCCCACAACTGCCACTGAACTGGCAAAACTAGCCACAAGCTTACAAAATACAAGGGGTAAATTGACAATCAAGATTCAAGGGCTCACAATTTGAGTACAAACTTACCTGAACGCCTATAAAGTTTATAGATCTGTGAAAACCTAAATAAAATGAAAAAAAAAGGGAGAGAGAGTACATTTAAACCTCGAAGAAAAACTTGCAAGCTATGGAAATTTCCAAAAGGGGAACAAATCCACAAAACACCACTTAGAAAACTAAAGATTGAGCAATACAAAAAAAAAGGGGGGCTCCGGTAAGTTATATGGTTTGGATGTCACCCAAATGAGGTTATAATCATGATAATAGGATCCCAGTTGGTTATTTTATTTGTCCTCTATTAAAGTCTTTTCATTTAACTTTATTTTGAGGGAATGCACTGACTTAATCGAAGAACAAAATTACTGTATCTGAGGGTCTATATCATTTCCCATTAATCTGCTATAGTGATTATACTCATTTTGGAAAATCATGCATGTAAAAGTTAGTTCATCTGATACATGTGATAAGTACTAAGCAAATAAACAAGAACAAAAAAACAAATAACACAATGACTTAAATCACAGTTACTCAAAGCTACATGTAGTTCCCAATTTCAACTAAAAGTTAATCCAGGTTCTCCTATGCCAGATTTAATATAATATTTCAATCAGTATGTACATGTATACACTCCAAATGATTTAATATAAAGATGTCATAATTATAAGCAGTCTGAGAAAAGCATGATCTTTTGCAATTACAAAATATAAGTATTGACAAGTTGGTCGACCATATGCCTTAATTTCTGGATCAGTAATACATGTTCAGTTATCATAGTTATGTATAAACTTTCAAAAAAAAAGATAGACATTGTTGGATAAAAACAATATTCCAGAACTTTACTACAGTACTAAATTGTAAACCTTTAAAAAATGAGATTCAATCATATTAAGTCCGAGGACATAGTTGTCTTCCTTTGATTTTCGTTGTCTACAAATATAGTCCTTAGTGTGGAAAGTGTATAACTTGCTAATTTTCCATACACTTTTCAAATTTATTCCTTAATATTTAGGAGAGGGATAAAAAAACATAGAATTGTCCATATTTTGAGTTAGATCTGGTTAAGTTTTCTAAAATTTTGATATTATTTGTCCCAAAAGTAGTACATTAAGCTGTACAAATTTTTCTTAGAGCAGGTGCGATTTTTTAAATTTGAATTTATTGTCTAAAAGAAATGCACTACAAAATAACTGTGTTCTTGGGCCAACAGACTACTAACTTTACATGGATTCTATCTTAATTTATGAGCTAGATATAAACAACATAATCACCTTGAAAAATTAGGATGTGATATCCTGTTTTTGAAAAGAATCGACAGGTACAAAAAAATGTACAGCCAATCTTTTAATGTATGAAAGAATTAAGTAAAGGTTTTAAGTAATTTGTGGTTGTGAAATCCCTGACTCAAAATTTTAGCTGGTACGTTGTATTTAAAGATTTCTTTTATATAAATCTAAAATGTCACAACAGACAAGGAAATATTAATTTTCTTGGATTTTTAACCGGATTTTCGAAGGAAATATCGGTTATTGAAATGGTGATGTACAGCGGGCGGCTGGGCGGACGGGCGGCTGCCAAACAGTGTCTTTACAATAACATGAAAACGCTTTAATAAATTTTTTTTCAAATTTAAATATCTTGTTTCCTGGGACTCAATGAAGGTCTAGTTCAATTTTCAAGATTTTAGTTTTTCTCCTTTTTGAGTTATCGCCATTTTTAATATCCAAAAGTGGAATTTTTAAATATTTTACTCTTGTTATCATGTTATGACTTGTCTTATCTCACAATAAAAATTGGAGTGACAGATTTATTTGAAAATTATCTATTTCTTAAGTGGTAATGATTATAAGCTATATCATTAGACGTTTTGAAGATTATTACATTTATTAATTATTATATATGTAATGTTAGAGTACTATGTTAAACCATAGTTCTGTTCAATTAGATCTGGGAAATATTTTAGCATATGATAATGACTTATTTTCATTATTAATTAGAACTTGGAAATATTTTAGCATATGATAATCATTGGAGTGACAGATTTATTTGAAAATTATCTGTTTTCTGATAATAAGATCTGTAGGACTGTATATATAAAGTTTGAAATTACTGTTCATTATTAAAAAAATTTGAAGATAATTAAGTGTCCCTAAATCATATACATGTATATTCTTACCTCTACCCCCCTTCAATTTGAGAATGTGCTTTTATCTTGTAAACGGTTGAGATCCCCACCCTTAAACCATATATATTCTTGTATGGGGCAATAAAACAAATCAAATGAAATATTGGGATAGTCCTCGGGTTTACACCTACCCTCCTTTTTTTTGAAAACTTGTAAATGTTCAAGCTCCCCACCCTGAAACCATATATATTCTTGTATGTTACAATAAAACAAATCAAATGAAATAAAAGGTGAGTCCCCTGGGGTCACCCCCACCCCGTTCTGTTTGAGAACTTGTGAACGGTCGAGATCCCCACCCCTAAACCATATATATTCTTGTATGGGACAGTAAAACAAATCAAATGAAATATAGGGGAAGTCCAATGGGGTAACCCCCACCCCCTTCTGTTTGAGAAATTGTAAACGGTTGAGATCCCCACCCCTAAACCATATATATTCTTGTATGTGACAATAAAACAAATCAATTGAAATTTAGGGGAAGTCCACAAGGGTAGACCCCACCCCCTTCTTTTTGAAAACTTGTAAACGGTTGAGATCCCCACCCCTAAACCACATATAATCTTTTATGGGACAATAAAACAAATCAAATGAAATTTAGGGGAAGTCCCCTGGGGTAACCCCTACCCCCTTTTTTTTGAAAACTTGTAAACAGTCAAGATCCCCACCCTGAAACTATTTTTCTTCTTGTATATTACAATAAAACAAATCAAATGAAATAAAAGTCGAGTCCCCTGGGGTCTTTTTGTGATTGAGTTATTTTCCTTTGAACAGAAATTGTTAATTATTTACATAAAGTTTGATTACACTAAGCCTTTATAGATAATTTTCACCTGTTTATATGTCCTGTAATCAGTTTACTAAACATATGGTTAATGTCTTACCTTGAGTGACAGATTTATTTGAAAATTTTCTGTTTTCTAAGTCAAGTGTTGATGATTAAAAGCTATATTGTAGTAAATATAGTTAGAAGAAATTTACTGTTCATTATTAGACATTTTGAAGATAATTACAGATAAGTTTAATAGATTTTTAAAAGACATTGTATTACTGATAAATAAAATTTTTGATTTTTTTTTTTTCTTTACATGTACTTTGGTAAATTGTAAATTGTTTGTTATTCTGTAAAAACTAATTTTCTGAATGCTATATATATTTTTTTGATTAGGTGAA